TCAGCAGATGCCAATCCCCATGTAGACGCTATGCGTTAGTCTCCAATCGCGCAGATTGAATTTTCAGGATATGCCGCGGACGCGGGGGTTTTCAACTACTTTTCATTGCATTCTAGATTCTAGATCATATTTTGGCACCGAATCCCTAAGTAGTTGCTACTTTTTCTCGTGCCATGAATCGATGCCTGTGTCGAAAAGCGCTTGAGATCCACATTCCTGGCTAGGATCCTTTGGCTGCAACCGCGGTCCACGTATCGAGCTTTTGGAACAACACCAATGACATCAAATCCAGCCAACCCCCATGGAGACACTCAGTTCACAAGCGCACACAAAAGACACTCATCAGTGGCATCAAAGAACCTCTAAACCAGCCATTCCCAATGTAGACGCTCGACTTCACAAGCATGCCCGCGAGACATACATCAGTCACATCAGTGGCATCATAACACACCAAAATCAGCCGCTGCCCATGTAGACGCTCGATTCACAAGCGCACGCACAAGACACACATCAGTGGCATCACAGCGCACCCAGACCAGCCGTTGCCCATGTAGTTGTGTCTCTGTCTCTACGTCCTGTGTATGTGCGTCTGTGCGCGTGCGCGTACCCAGTGCCAAGCAGTGTGACCGAGACTGGTTTGGATGAGCTGGGCCTATTTTTCAGAGGGCCATGTGATTAGCTCCGAAATGGACAAGCACCCCTTCGAGATGAACATACATCAAAACCAGCCATTCCCCATCTGGACGCTCGATTCCACAAGCGCCCATGCGAGACGCACATCAGTGGCAGCGCACCAAATCTAAACCAGCCATTCCCAATCTAGACGCTGGATCCCACAAGCGCCCACTCCAGACGCACATCAGTGGCGGCATACCACATCAAAACCAGCCATTCCCCATCTAGACGCTCGATTCCACAGCCGCCCATGCGAGAGCACATCACTGGCATGACAGTACATCACAACCAGCCAACCCAGCCATTCCCCACCTAGACGCTCCATTCCACGTGGAACCATCGGATCGTTCACAAATAGAAGTGATTGTTTGAAAGCGGTTTCCCGAGTATGGACGCTCGTCGATGCATATTTCAACCCAGCGATGCGCGATAAAGCGACCCCCCTTATGTGTATAAGTATAGATGAAGCTACATGTATGTATATATGTATGTACACGTGTGTATGCATGCGTACATATATATATATACATATATATATATGTGTGTGTCTATGTATATACATATCTATATGTATATATATATACTTATATGTGCATATATGTATATGTATGTGTGTCTGCGTATGTATATGCATGGGCTGTTGCATGTACCTCTAGCTGTGAGTATACACATGTTTACACACACATACGCACATATGTGTATGTATATGGCTCTATCTATCTATCTATCTATCTATCTATCTATCTATCTAGCTATCTATGTACCTATCTATCTATCTATCTCATCTTATTTCATCTTGTCTAGTCTAACCTAACCTTTCCTAAGCTAATCTAATCTAATCTATCTATGTGTGTGTGCTCTTTCTTGTTATGCTCACTCTCTCTTCGAGAAAACAATCGATCGAGAAAACAATCGATCGAATGCGCGACCAGTTGAAACATACGCTGCATGCTATTCTTCAGTGCCTGGAATCCTGACCCTGACAAAATGAAATGGCTCTGTATATGTGCCAAGCGGCCTCGATCAGTGCATCCACCATGTTGATCAAGTTCGGGTTGTACCTTCGACTTCGGAAGTTTGGCTGATTCAAACCTGTTTCAGCTGGTTCGAGCTTGAGAGTTTAGGGCATCTGCATTCAGGCCGGCTGTTGCAGCTGAGATGGCACGGAAGCACTTGTGGTTCGGGTGAGGTTAAGCTGTTCCTAGTTTCTAAGTCTCGGCTGCTCAGCCAAACACAAACCCCACGTCCACAAGCCTACAAACAAATAGAACGACCCGCCACCGAACATAGAAATACCCCAAAACCAGACTCGTGAAGACGTGCTGCAGGCTCGGAATCCCGCTGCAAGCTTACCTACTAGTCTTGGACCAGGCTGCATCGAACTGGCAACCATGGAAGTGACCGTCGATGCGTAGAACACCTGATCGTTCTTTTAAAGGTGCCCAGCGCGGACTATTTGAACAGCATCCTGCTCAAAATGCTAAGCCGCTAAGCAACTGGTGTCAATGACCATGTTTCACCCCGAAGCAGACGAGCCTGGCCGCGAAGGTATCTGGGATGATACTTGATGTCATGGACTTCCATGTCCTGTTACGAGTGCAGGCATGGCAATGGCACCCGAGGACGTCCGGAAGCCCCGTCTTGGTTTGCAGCCTGGATGTGCCGCAGCAGAATGCTCTATGCATGCATATTCTGCGCCTGGCAGCGCGTCAGTGTGCTTCTGGTGGCGTTGTGCTTGCTTGTCGCAAGGTTGTGTTTGCCGTCCTTTGCATCCGTATACTATCGTGAGAGCACACTTGCCGCTGTCTCGGCTGCCCGGCGCAGTCCTCGTACCTCTCGGTGGAGTTGCCCCCATCCAGGCTCTCAACATCGATGACAGGCCTAAAGGATTATGTAACAGAACAGGGCTTCCGGCTTAGGGCTTGGTGTTTGGGAGTCAGGATTGCGGAGGTGAAGATGCCACTTTCGCAAGAATGTAAACTGACCGCAGCAAGGAGTCCATGTCAATGGCACGAAAATGAGTCGACCATCAGTGTCTCCCGGCAAGGAAGAACCCAGCCTGCAAGAACCATAGAAACTTTAGATACTCAAAGAGCTGTTTCGCACCAAGCTGATCTGCGGCTGTGGCCTGCCGCGCTAAGCAAGCGTCCGAATAATTAGGCGCAAGCTTTGCTATACAAGAAATGGTGCCATGGTAGTATTACTGGGCTATGCTATATGTTGATTCATGCACTGAGCAGCAGGCGGCGGCTTGCCATCCAGACCCATCGAACGAGCAAGAGCCTTTGTGCTGCTGGGGGGGGCACGGGGAGGGCGCAGAACACAGCCAGATTAAGGACGATGCAAGGGTTCGGGGCTTTGGGGTTTAGGATGAGCAATATGATTCAGCATGATTCCTTTGAAGCTTAACAGGATCTTAGTATACTGTGCCCCCTTTGACAACGTTCTGCCTCGGAACTTGCAGAGGCCTAGGCCCCTTTTTGGGCCCTACCCAGTAGGGGACCTGCGGCGGCGATTAGAGCGCTAGAGGACAACGCCCAAGATGTGGTTTTCTCCGTTTGGGCATAATGGAAAACGCCGACGGCTTCAGCAGCGAGAATACGCACCACACGGCTTTTCGGAGCAATGAGACTCCGATCTAGTCGGGGTAAGAATAGATATGGTACTGGCGGGCACAATGTCTGACCCCCGAATTTTCCAAGCCGCTTGGAACAGAGTTCAAGGTCGAAGGGTTTTTTCGCTTCGGGTTTTGTATTTCCAGGGTGGAAGGTGTGGCTGCCCACAGAATGCAAACCTAAGCCTTAAGCCTTCAACCGCGAATCGTCTATAAGTCGCAAAACCCCGAAACTTAAGCCGACGGGGTTCAGGGCATTCAGGCTAAAGACTCGTGGGAATGCAGGACCCTGTTTGGAGCTCTTGTCAGGGCAGCATGCCATGAACCTGAGCAAAAAAGAACCCCTAAGCCCTAAACCCGTGAACCTCCAAAACCTGCAACGACACAACAAAAACTATCAGAGCCTAGCGGCCTTGGCGCCCTTCATGAATGCCGTCAGCGCTTGAGGAAGCTCGGGAGGCGGGCCTACCGGCTGCAGAGGAACAGGAGAAAAACGTGGTGAAGCAATGTTAAATATGAGTATTTTGTCCATGTCCATTCTCGCCACCAAATTATGAACAGATATGCATGCATCCACAGATACATGGATAAAAATATGCGAGTTGCCTTGTTTCGATATATGTAACTGACTGTACGTACGTATGTATTAGGCTGTGTATGTCTTTATCCAAGGAGCTATAAAAACCAATCACAACGGCAGATAGACATGGACAGGCAGGTAGATGGATGGATTGCACCCTTTGATGAAGTTAACTGTTGTTCTAAGGCTCGCTGGGTTTGTGTGCGGGGCGGCTTCATCCGGTCCAGAACTCCAGCCCAATGGTGAATCCTGTGGTCTCGAAGGCTGGTGGGTACTCACATGTAGAGGTACAAGCGAGGTAACTACACCTACATGTATACGCAACTCCAAGAACCGTGCTCAGCACTCAGAAGTCTACTTGCGTGTATGTCCATCTATGTGGGTGTTTTACATATGTATATGTGTATGTGTATATGTACATGTACATGTATACGTATATGTATGTGCGTATGTGCGTATGTGTGCATGTGTGAAGGCTCACAGCCACTTTTGTGCGGGTCTGGTGGTTCTTGGTTTTGTGTTCGGGGGCTTTCTTCGGGCTCTTTGTTTGGCCTTGTTGTGGGTGGCCTTGGGGCTTCTAAGTTCTAGTGAAGCCTTCGTGACTACACCCTGAACCCTAAACCCTAAACCCACAAGGCATACCGAAGCCCTTCCGACTCAGCCCTGCCGGCCTACCACGGCCGTACTGAGCAGAGGCTCTTCCTGCGTGCTCGCAAGCAGGCAACGTGCTGCAAACATGGGGCCATGTCGCAAAAACAAAGGAGCCAAGCTTTTTGGGGCAATCGTCAATTGATATCCGAGCGGCCTCGATGAAAACTCTCTCGGGCGGCAGGAGTTCACCTCGCAGAAGACATGCGCATGCTCTTGTTTTGTCAGCCCCCCAAGCTGCGTACACTGCACCCAAGTCCTGAGTGCACTGTGCCTTGGCCCTAATCATCTCTCTTCGCAAGTCCCGTGTGCCGATGAGGCAGAGTCGAAACCCGAGAGCTTCCCAGTGTGAGGGATCGAACCGAGAGCGACGCAGCTTCCGGGATAGGCGTGGTCCGTTGTCTTGGGAGCAGCAGCTTTATACGAAGCTCCGAGACTACAACATGGGGATTCGGATCGAAAGGCTTGCAAGAGTAGCACGAGTGTCGGATGTATAGGATTCAACAACTTGCATTGAAGCCAATGAGTTTGGTCTTTGCTGCACCTATACATTGAACCGTATGCTGGTAACCATGTCTTTGCATCTTTGCATGAACAGCCAGGGAGGACCGGTGCAGGGCTGAGTGCCTGGGACAAGATTGGGGTTCTAGACCGGGCCTAAATGAGTAGAATTTGCCGTTGGGGATATGGCTCTTGACTGATATGCAGCTTCGACGAAACACATGACTCCGTAGTCTCTTGTGGGAGGTGCGGGGCTGAGTGCCTTGATGGGTGCCGTAGTGCGGCACCAGGTCAAACGGTCCTACTACCGGCAGTGAAACTCAATATCAGGACATCGCGCAGGTGTTCCAAAACAGGACCCATCGCCCAAATGCCCTACTGCTCGAACCCAACCCCCAAACATCCTAAACACCCTTTACCCCCCAGCTCTCCACAGCTGAAGTGCAGTGACGTAAAGAAGCCGGCTTTAGGAATTGACGGGGGTTAAGTCCTGTGCACCCGCGTTTACATCAAATTTTGCGACTTACGACACCCAAGGTAGTTGGCGTTGAATGCAAACCCAACTATTGCGTCCGACTTGCTGTGTTTCTGCTGCTTCCGCGGCGAGCTCGAGCTCACGTACACGAGAACCATGCCATGGAACACTAGACTTTGGAATAGATTCGCAAAGTCTACTACAAATACTGACAGCTACTTGCGTATGTGTACACATGCGTAAACACACATACACACATGCATGCATGTACATGCATGCATACCTACATTCATACATACATACAGACATACATACATACATGCACCCAACAAGGTCCGAGAGTCTGCGTGAAGACTCTGAGATACTCTGAGTCTACCTTCGGGAACTAGCAAATCCCAAATCCTCGAAGTCTAAACGCGAACCGTAGATGCGTTATCCTTTCTCTGAGCCCGAGCCCGGCACAATAGGAATTACCTTCTCGAAGGGCAGCAGGTGTGACGCCAGAGTCTGCGCGTGCAGAATTAGAGGTTCCCGAAGCCGGTATCTTCTGTTGTCCTTACGAGGGTCCTGCTGGGACGCCCGTGGCAAAGATTCGGGGCTTCGCTTTCAAGGCTCAGGGGGCCAGAGCTCTGTCGACGGGCATTGTATGGTCGTGTGAGCAGGATGTGTGTTGGCATCTGTAAGTCTTCATGTACAAGCGTGTCTGCTGATGGCGTGTATGTAGGTAGGTAAGGAGGGAGGGATTCTTAGTTGCACATCTCTTCGGAGTGATGGGTTGTAGTATCAAAGACGGCAGCACCTATGTATTTGTGCCCTGGTGGACCGTGCTGTAGCACTGCGCCAGTTCTCTGCCCACATCATGTAAGCTTAGCAAATTCACAAAACAGGCGACCCCTGCAGACCCGTCACTCCGGGCTGCCCGCTGCTGCGAGCACAACTCGTGCATCCGCAGTTTTCTTGACCTCCACATCCCAGGCTCGCAAAAAAAGGTGGTGCCCAGTCATTCAGTTCCAGGACTTTGGGCTGCGTCTTGTTAGTGAGAGGTCAATGATGCGAAGGTGGGAGGTCGATGATGCGAAATTCAGGAACAGTAGTCGCTAACACCCTCAAAGGCCTGAGCCCTCAACCGAGAACCCCCACGTCGAGGAGATCTCGACCGCCCTGGAAGTCTGAGCAACCCCAGGGAGCTAGGCCTTCCAAGCTCAGGACATTGATATTAGAGCCAATTGCTCGTGTTTGGATTTAAGTTGGGGATTCCACACCTCAAGGATGTTAGAACAAGAACCTGAGCTCACCCCATCAACACGCTCTGAACCCCAGACCTGCAAGACAGTCGCCTGTTACTTGAGGAGTAGCGCCTGCATTTGAATAGGTTTCCTAAGACAGTTAACAGTTGATTACTTGGCTAGGGGAATGCAGTTGTTTGGCCTTCCCGATAGCTCCCGGGTGGGTCCTGGCCTGAGAAGGCGGCATGTTGGATTGAAATTTATCATGGCTCTAGGGTCTAGGCAGTCTAGGGTCCAGTCTTGGATTGCAGCTTAAACGAGTCAACATGGTTTGTAAGGGGCGGAGGACTCTTTCAGCGGGGAGCGCCGTGTCAACTCTTCGTTCGCAACCGGGATAGTTGTGATGTATTCTGATACTTTGCTTCGTTGAGATCTGAGGAGCTGGGTTGGCGGCTCAGGGTTCGGGGTTCGAGGCTTTGGGTGCAGGGTACCACCTGAACACGGGAGACGAAGTTTGTAAACGACAACTCCCGCAAGCTCCAAAGAGCTGGCTTTCCTGACTTCCTTTTACACTCAGTGACACTTTGAATTAAGGGTTTGGGGTAAAGTTTAGGACTTCGGCACCGTTTTTTGTTTCAGCATGTAAGAATCAGAATCAAATGGCTGCTTTGCAGAGCTGCCGCGGGCAATTCTTTTGCTCGTTGGCATAGGGACACTAACCTAAGGGTACGGCGATGACGACAGCGCTGCAAGTCTCAATCCCGGCTTTGATCAAGTCCTCCGCACCTGGGCGCAAGAAGGATGCATCCAAGTTGCAAAGACCGAAAATGCTGAAGCTGCTGACCCTGAACCGTGAAGCTTACATCTGATGCACCTGGACCATGGTCCCACCAAACCTCCTTCTCCCTCTCAGGGACCAGCGGAGGGCCGAGCCAGAGATGAAATAAACCTGGGCGGGGTTGCGTGTTTGGGTTTGGGGCTTAGGGATTATGTGCGAAGCCATGGAGTTTAGGGACTGAAGGTTTCGAGATGGAAGTCGCGGCATTTAGGTCTTGGATGGTCTTGGGCTTGCGTTTTGCTGCTTTAGGGTTGCTGATTTCGCCAAATGTCAAAGAAGGCCGCGACGCCCCAGACCTGACACGGACCTAGCCACTGCGCATGCAAAACGGAGCCCCGCACCCTTTCCATGTGGCAGATCTCGTGCCAGTCTGAGGGCCTCAGAGGGCTTCCGAAGTTCAGGCCGCGAGCCTGAAACGCTTGAACTTCTGGGCAGTCGACTGAAGCTCTCCCATGAACACGACGGTGGGTTGGCTGCCCTGAGCACTTTACGTATGGGTGCTGAAGGCACATATGAAGGCACAGCCGACTCTCCTGGTTCAGCTCCAACCGGTCGTCTCTGAGTGCCTGAAAAAAGCCGGGGCACATCACAGCCTATACCCGGCAGCCACAAGGCTCAGGTCTGCTGCCTTCATGAACATGTGGATTCCAACAGGCGCACCGGTCCTGAGTAGAAGCTGCTGGGGTGACTCGATATGACCCTGACCGTTTATACTGATAGCTTCCTGCACGGCTTCCTGAGGCTGGGTCAGTTTGGAGCTTCCGACTGCGATGCTGCTCACTTCCGTGTCCTCACTCGGGCGAGCAGGCGCTTGATACATGTCGACTTCCCGGTGGTAAGCTTTCGGCACTCACGAAACAGACCAGGATGTGTCCTCACATACAGATGCGGCTAGTCGGCATTAATCCTTCTTTCCGGCTGTCCCATCATCGGCGGCAGAAGTCCTCCGGCGCTTAGCACATGTTTTGGGGGTCTGCGCCTCGTCAGCTGAGTCCCAACAGTGTCCAAAGCATCAAAGAAATCAAAGAACTCCGGGACCCGAGCTCTCCCATGGCGTCACGACGGCAACCTGATCACAAAGTCATCTCCAGCAGCGGCAACGACTTGGGGTTCCTCGTTTCGCGACTGGAGAGCTCATGGGTCGTGTGTCTCTGCACACCATCTGCACCTATTACACACGAAACCGCAAAGCCTATGTACTCTCAAACCAAAAGCTCTTTCTGGCTTGAACCTGCGCCTCCCGAACCCCTCATCAAACCTGAGTCAAGCCGTCCAGGCTCCCAGCGGTCCAGCAGAGCCTCGAGCTTCTCGAGCTCCTATGTCAGAGCACCACGCAGGGTTATATAAGGAGTCTAGGGTTTCGGGTCTAGGCTTGCAAAGCACATGGCTTAGAAACGATCGCAAGGAAGCAATGGTGGCACGACTCCCGAGCCATCATCGCGGCACGAGATGTGGGCAGAACTAAGAACAACGACGAAAACGACGAAGACGAGGCCGATGCCGCCCTGCCCCGACCAGCAACACCAAGGCTGGCACCATCACGACCAAAGATAAGGCCGCAGCAGCACCAGCAGTAACCAGCATCGGCAGTAGCAGCACCACCACCGTCATCGACAACTACTGCTGCCAGCTTGTACTCTGACTGCTCTTCCGTGTTACATCACGAAGATGATGACAGTGGCAGTCGCGACGACTAAAGCTTCTAGCATGACTGTGATGGTGATGCCGGGCAGCTGCAGCAGCAGCAGCAGCAGCGGCAGTAGTGTCTCTGATCAGCAGAAGCAGCAGCATCCTTGTGGACGGCGGAGTCACGAAACTCTTCGGCCTGTTATTTGGAAGTTGCATTTGTGGTGGCTGGCCCGATGCAGCATCTACACCAGGCTTTGGCTCCTGCTTCTTCTTCTCCATCTTGTCCAGCGCCTCGTTCGCCACCTGACTTGGCAACAGTGCAACATCTGACATGCCCACATCGGTTGAAACAGACACCCAGGAGGGTGGATCGATCTCGATAGAAAATACGGAAACAGAGAATCCCGTTAAGATACCGTTGCACTGCTTGTATACTCCTGCAGTATCCCGTGGTCAGACCGACAGAAAGACAGACTGAAGGACATGGAGACAGGCCAGATCCCAGATCCGCAGAACAAGAGACTGACAGATACATGTAGAAACAATACAAGTCCATCCATGCACGTATGCATGAACTGTGGACGCAGAAAGGATCACATGGAGAGAGGATATGGCGCTCAAGAGATCTGAGGCAAAGAGAGACAGAGAGTGATAAAAAAAGAAAAAAGGATGGAGAAAGACAGAGGAGCGAGAGGCTGATGGGGGAAGAGAGGGGCAGCGAGAGAGAGAGAGAGAGAGAGAGAGAGAGACAGAGAGCGAGAGAGAGATAGAGATATAAGTAGATAGATAGACAGATAGATACATAGATAAAGAGATTGATAGAAAGGCACAGAGGCAGATGCATGTACAGAGAGATGCAGGCAGAGAAGAGAGAGTCGGAGACGACGAAAGAAGTCCATAAGCCTAAAACCCTGAATGCTGAAGCCTAAGTTGCCTGTGCCCTTGGCGATGCAACTCGTGGCCCCCGAGCCTTGCCGAGGAGCTTCTTGGATTCGCCCTGAGGCGAAGGATGCAAAAGGTTCAGGCTTCTTTACGCATTGGGGCTTAAGAATTGGCAGATATGGGCATGCGGGCTAAAGACATGACAAAAACAACAGCTGTCCCAGCATGTGAATCATGTTGTTCGCTCCCAAGCAGGCCTCCGTTTCACCATCTGAGCCAGCGTCCTCCGCTTTGTTGACGAGGTTGCGGCGCGGAAACTGTCAAAGGCTGGCGGAACGATGATGATAGCTGTCCGAACTATGGCAACAACTTCGATAGAAGCAATTAGCATCTCGAGCAGCTGTAAACAACCACAAGTTTGCATCCACGCAACAGTCCTTTCTGAAGCAAAAATGCCCATAGTGCCATAGTGGACAAGCCGCAAGGACATGGCCCGCACCTTTCTCTGGTAGGGCTCCGTGTTCGTCGCGGCACCGATAAGATCGGGATGAAGTCCTTTCCTCAATGCAGGGGCAGCGGAACAGACAGCCACTGCATCTCTTTGCCCTTGTCAAAGGCTCCCACTCCAAGAACCTGCGCACAGGGTTGCGTATCGGGGTCATGGTTCTCTGTGGTAGTGGAGGGGAACATGATCCTCACGGTGCAGACTCGCAGCAGACGAGGGCGACGAAGGACGCCGATCACTAATTCTGCTGCTCTCGATAGCGATCATGAAGGTGGTGATGATGAAGATGATGAGGAATAAGAAGATGATGATGACGGCGATGGTGAAGATGGCGATGATGACGATGACGATGACGATCGCAATAACATCATGATGATGACAGGCCATGGCCTGGTACCAGCAACTGCCTCACTTCCAAGAAATACTAAGATTCTTTATGCTGGTTCTAACGCGTTTCGCATTCTTGCACTTGGCGTTCCCTGTCTGTCTCCACCCTTGCTAGCAGTATGTGTAGCGGCGCAGCACGGCCTCGAGAATCGATCGGCCGTAGCTGCTGCTGCAGACAGTGCTGCTGCAACACCGCCAGGAACAGTGTCGTTGCTGCACTGTCGCGGTCGTCAGCCATGTTACGAAGTCATGATTACCACCTGTCCACGATTGTTGAGAACGGTGTCATTGTTGATACCAGCGTTTAGCACTATGTTGTAGTACTTGTCAAACGCGCACCGCATTGATTGCTTAGATGATACTCTATAATCATAACTCATCAAAAAAACAGAAACAATGGTGTGCAAGTGGTTTCTCGTGATGGTTGCTGCTTACGGTTTCCTTCTATCCTTGCCACTACCATTGTTGATTCTGCTGCCATTCCGACGGCTGTTCCTACAACTTCCTCCAGTGCTGTACAGCAGTCCGGAGAGATGGGCCTCTTCTTCACCCTGAGCATGATGTCCTCGTACTGCTCGTCCATCTCTGCCTGGAAGGATATGCACAGGAGAAACGAAGATAAGAGTCGGAAGCAGAACATCCAGCACTGGCTCGCGAATCACCAAACTCCAAAAAGCGGAAGGCCTGACCTCGAGTAGTTCTGCCCTCGCCTTGAGCTGATCCACTTCCCTTGCTCGATCCTTCTCCTCTGCCTGTGGCACTAGGGCTTCTTGGATCCAGTCTTGGGATGTAAAACTTCGGGCTAGGGCCAGGGCTAAATTCATCAGCCGAAGCCCCGATGCTCAAATTCGGACCGTTGAATTGCATGGATGTCCAAATCCTGAATGAAGCCTTCTTTGCTACGCAGCTTAATTTTGGTGAGTCAAGTTGCATGAGCGGGAGCTTGGGGCGCAAGTGTTGGGTTGGCTTGGGGCTACGAGTCTGCCTGAATTTTGAACTAGGCTAATGTGACTGCCACCCCATGTGTACCTGTGACCGGAGACCAAAGAGCCAAGCAACCTTCGACACTGGAAATCCTGCACCTGCAACCCCAAAACTCAAAACCGCAAGATTGTGCCCTGACTTTGCACTTGAAAATGCTTTTCCAGCCGCAACGGCGCTTCACATCCCTCTGTACACTAGTGTGGGGGCTTCTCAACACCGGAGATCTCATGTCGACTTAGAGGTGCAGTGTCCACGGTCACGGCTGTCGCTGGAGCTGGCAATCCACATTGCGGCAGCGTGCGCTTGAGGTGATCAACACGACACGAGGTTGTGGTAGTGGTCTGAGGCGAAGGAGTTATGAGTTCTGGACTGATAATCGTAGGATGGGAGGTAGAGGTGTTGCTGATGTCAGATGATTCATAGAGGTCTGCTGATGGATTATTGAATTGCTAGGAAGCGGCTACAACATACAAACAGAAAGGCCTATGAGTGTTATGAGAAGCCCTCACTGAAAATCTGTACAAAGCTTTGGCCGCCCGAATGGTCGGCGGGAACAGATGCGCTCGACTCGGATCGGCACAAGGTACGGGCCCGACTGCTGGAACTCCCAAAACTTTGTTGCTCTGCCACTGCCACTTGCTGGTTGCAGCGATTCTGGGTTCATTCAGCGCTTGCGGCGCCGCTGTGTTGCTCCTCGAGACACCTCTGTTGCGCAGAGTGGCCAAAACCACTGGCCGTATTTTACACTTGCACGATGCTGATGCGGCGATGACGGTGACTATCATGAAGACTGCGAGCATGACGATGCTTCCCAAGGTCATGGGATAACGGCGACGGTGGCGACGACAACGAATGACAGTGATGATCATGGGCAAGATCATTCATCACGACAGCGACGCTGATTCTGCCGACACTTGTGCTAATGATGACAATACAGATGTCACCGATGATGACGACGACGGTGACGAAGCTTGCGATCGTCGTTGGTTCAGTCACGAAAACTTTCAAGATGACGATGGTAAGCATCACCAGCATCGAAAAAGTCTCCGCCACCATCACCATTGCCAACATCATCATGAGTGTCGTAATGGCTGGCCGTGATGGTGACAATTGGAGATCTTGACGCTGGCGAAGATGCTGACATTGAAAAGCTGCTGCATGTCTTTGCTGATAGTGATTGCGATGTGTGGTGATGAGGATGCGGACGAGGCTCCTGTGATGCTGATTGTTTGGACTACACGGCTGAAGCAGAGTATTGTGCTAAATATGACCATCATGAGGCTGACTATGCTCTGAACCACTGCTGTGCTGCCTATCGCCACTGCTCCATGGCCATCTTTCCTTATCATGTCGTATCTTTTCTGAATGGCATCCGAAAGCTCTTCAGTTTGATTGGACCATGCAGCCTCTGGGCATAAGCGTCGTCGCTCCAGATCATCCAGCTGCTCATCCTAGGCTCTTTCAGGAAGCGGCCCTAGGCAGCCGCGTGTCGAAGCCGTAGAGGCTACCCGATAGAAAAAGTCGAGCAAGTGCCTTTGTCCTGGTTCCTCGTCTGCTTTTGATCATCTCCAGAAAACGGCAACATTGGCAACATGTGGTGCATCTCAAGAGTGACACGAATGCAGGTCGCCATCCAGTTTTACTGGCAGGAAGCCTCCCCGACCGTCGCAAGGACTTGGAGGGAAGCCTGCAGCACATCACTGCATGTAAGCCCATGCAGCAAGCTGTGTGCTTGAAGGGTGTCCTCTTCGAAGTATTTTTGAATGAGATGTTGTTGCACGCAGCTTGTAGCGTGTCAAAACGCCGCTTGCTGAGTCGCGCACATTGTTGGCAGGCAACCGGACAAGTGGAGGTATAGGCACACCTGAAGTGGTTCGAGATTACAATTGAAGGATACTTCGCCTGTTGCCAGACGAAGCAGCCATGCTTCTGCCATTCTAAGAAAGAGTCCATTTTTGTCCTCATTCAGAGCAGCCGCCCTTCCCTCCAAACCTAAACCCGAATTCGAACTCTCAAACACACCTGAACTCTCACGACGGCCCCTCCTCGAGGCTTTGAAGGGCCCCCTCCCAGCTGCCGCGCGCGCTCAGCCCAGGTCAGGGGCTTCGTCTTGTCCGGACGGACCAGCACTGCACCACTCTCCTGCACTTTGTCGATGCTGAAGGCTTCGGAACTTGAAGGTCTGGGGCTCTAGGGTGTCACACGCATCCAACCTGAGCGAAGCGCCAGCCAGGACGGGTCTACACTCAACGGAGAAAGCTTGGAGGGAAGCTCCTCGTCAAAGGCCAAGTCAGGTTCACCGACGTCCAGCCAGGAGGACAGCGAGGAGGTCTCACAATCAACGAAGTCGTCCAAGGCTTCCGGAAGCGATGGCCACTCAGATCTAGGATGCAAAGAAGCCGATCAGGTGGGTCTATTCTGCTCTAAGGGTTGGGGGCTTGGGCTTCAGACCTACGCTTCTAGGCTCCAGAGTTGATGCTCAAGACGACCAGCCACAGTTCTGTGCTGTCATCCAACGAACCACAAACCCAAAACATCCCCAAACCCTGCCCCGAAACAAGCTAAAAAGGACTACAAGCCATTTGCAAAAGCCCACACCAGCCATCGCTTCAAAATCAACCTCTGCCTCAGGCCCGAACCCCGACAGATGCACAGGTCCCAGATGTCCGCTTCGCGCATCGATGCCCGGGCCTGTCAGATGCACGCAGGTTGTAAGCTTCAGATACAGTCTCGGCAATGAGTCTACGTCTACAAGCAGTTCTTCGAGTTCCTTTCAGCACTTCAGTACCTACCCACACATCCCATGCCTGTGCTTGTAATAGCCTGGCAGCTTTCTCCAGAGCTATCCACGGCTTGATCCTCCTCTTCCAGCGTGCTGTCCTCCACGCAAAGGTCCCAGGCCTCTGAGGCATCCTTGCATCGCGACCCTTTGAACAACTTTTCTCCGATGTTTCAGCAAAAGTACTGTTTACCCCTAGCGAGCTCAACGACTCGCGGGTCTCCAAGCGCATTAGAGTGGCGATGGACGCCTTGACCAGGGTCTTGCAACGTCCAGCTGGCTTGGACGAAGCACCTCAAGGAACGGCGGAAAAAAGGTAATGTGGCTTTGTGGTTGTGGGCTGGGCTGTTAGATGATTGGACGGCTGCAAGTTAAGGTGCCTTCCAGCCGACTTCTTCCAGTTTGCTTGAACATACATTCGCGGCCAAGCCCTAAAATCCGAACCCCGATTCCTCAATCCTTGAGTCCACCCTGACATCAGGCCTAGCATGACCTCCGGCAAATCCTCGTAGCACAGGCTCGGTCCAGCCGGCTCGAACCGCATCTCTGCCTCGGGACCAGGTTTAAGCTGGGCTGACCTATTCAATCTTCTCCTCCGTGCCTCGGAGCAGTTGGATGGTGCCACATGAATGGCCAAACTTCCCAAGCAAGTCTTAAAAATTCAGCAGATTGCTCCTGTCCTCTTGCATCACACTCGTATGTTGAAGGCTCCAGCCAGGATGCCGCTAGTGGGCTCTCCTCCAGTGTGATGCGAGGCGGCCGGCTTTTGCACATGGCCTCCACTGTGGCCGACGTGGCGTACATGGCACACGGGTGCAGCACGACACCTTCGAGCCAAAATACTGCATCGCGTCCCTGCTTCGACTCTGCATCGGCATGGATCACCGCGAGCGTGGCATGCTTTGTCCGAAGTGGTTGCGTCGGTCGAGCCTGCGCAAAGTCTGCGATGTTGGCAGATGCTTCGCCTGTCCTGATCCGCGAGTAGTTTCGAAGCACCGATGAAGGCGCTGCTGCCAAACGGTGCATATGCTGGGCTGCGCACTGGCTATCTGCAAGTTGCCTGCAAGCGGGTGAGCCGGTCAGAATCCTCTTTATGAGCTTGAACCGAAATCTCGAGACTACCAATACACGTTGAGCCCTGCAACCTACTTCCTGCATGACTTTGAATCCAAAAGCCTAAAGGCCTAAACCTTGGCCCTTGGCAGCCCGAGTCAAGGCTCGTCCTCGAGCTAAGAACAGACCCCAAATACAGGTGCACTGTTGCCTGAACTCCACAAGAAACTACACTAACTACACATGCAGGAACACGTCCCACATAATGCCCACCCACACAGTGATGTCCATAATTACCTCGATTACACACAAACCACGATTGCAGTCACATGCCCAGCCTTAGCGAAGGCAGCATGTCGTCCTTCTTCTTCTTCCTCTCTTCAAAAACGTGAAGCTGCACACAAGCTTGTATGTGTTTGGCGGCAGCACTGTGTCAGAACACTGTCGTATGTTGCTGTGTGTTGACTATGCTGGTCTCTACTCATTGCAAAGACTTGTCACCAGATGTCTGTGCAAAAATGTCAAGGACAAGACGCCAGAGTCACAGCCCTTTTGTAATTAGTCTGAGTCTGGTCACAGCTGCTGTTGACCCCGCACAGACGCACAGAGTTTCTAAGGTCCGAACCCAGCCAGGACCTGTCAAATGGAACAATGAGGAGTGCTGATGCTTGGTGGCTTCGGGACGGCTTCGTTCCAGCTTCACAAACGCCTGCAACAGCAAACGCAGCCCAGCATACTAAGAGCCGAAAGTTAAAGTGAAGGCTTAGGTGCCCTCAGCCCTCCACCCCTAAACCATTAGCTTCAAGGTACAGCTTGCAAAAGACCGCACGCCAAACTCCGGACACCATCCTTATCCTGATTCCAACTCAACAAACACATCCTAAACTCTTGAAGCCCTCAAACCCCGACAGAGCACCAAGATGGTTCATTGAAATCGATGGACCGGGAGCACTTAAGAAGGACAGATCGGTAGGATATACCTAGTCTACTACGAGAGCTTCATGTTTAGCAACCACACAACGCTTCCTGATCCTCCCCAAAACCCTGAATTCCTAAAGCCCCAACCCAGAATAAGCCGTGACTCCGGAATCCTAAATGTTCTCACTGTCACCTTCTGCTGCTGCTTCTCGAAAAGCGGCAGACGTCGGGGCATCTTCGCTCGCCTTGTTGTCGGAGGTTTCGTTTTGGGTTGAGGGTCAGGGTATGAGGGACTGGGATGTGCGGGGTAGGCTTTGGTTTGAGGAGGCAGAGTTGAAGGCTCTGGGGCTAACCAAGGACGGTCTGTGTGGAGTTAAATTTTCTCAGACGTAAAGTTGAGCTACATTCAGCGTTCGAGAAGAGAGCCCACCGGAGCCTACTAGATAACTAGATGCCATCAATCCAGTAGCATCGTAGGTTGAGGAAGTCCCAAATTCCCATGGCCTGAACACATGGAAACCCGAAAGTCAAAGCTGAAGCTTGGGACCCGAACGTCGCACTTCAAAGGGAACGCTGCTGCCTCATACATCCGACACTATGATATCCGAACCCCTGAACTCGGCCGGGCTGAAGGCCAACGGGTCCTTTTTGCTCTCTCTACTCTGTGGGCGACTTTCGGGCTACGGAAGGTTCTGGGTCCAGGCCTGGTTGCTTGGGCTTGGAGCTGAGAAATTTCAGTTCAAGACAAACCCGAGGTGCTAAAAGGCTCTAAAACCTTGTGTAGCGGCGAAGGTCGAGGCATGCTCAAGCCATTGAAGCCAAGGCACGAAATCTTCGGATCTTCGCCAGGCGGGACTTGCTCGATCTTGTCAAGCTCCGGGGCGATAAAGACCTACAGGTAGCACCAAGGTCTCCCACAAGTGTGAGGTTTTGGATTTGGGCTTTGGGCCTGGCAGTTAAAGCCTTAGGTTGAACCCTAAACCTTCCCAACCGACAGAAGCCCTTCTGTGAGCATCGCACTCCGGCTGTGCGACCCTCAACCACTTTGAGCTCGAAGTCTGGACCTCGATTTCGAGGCGCTCCACAAAGGTTTCCACAGCTGAGCCACTCAGCGTCTTAATCCGCACTCTTACCTCCGGAAACAATGGACTTTCAATACCAGAAGGACGATTCCACGTGCCACGAGGTTTTTGCGTAAGCAACGGGCCCGGGTTGATCAGCACCTCCCTTTCACCTCGCGGACGGGAGTCGTCACTCTTCATTCAGTCTTGGGTGTAGAAGTTGCAGCTTGGGGGCGTTTCTGATGTGCTTCAGGTTTAGAGCCAGCTTGGGGCTTCAGGGATCCATGGAGGTTCAAAAACACCGGAGCAGCTAGCGATCACGAAGACCCGCCTGCCTCCTGGCATCTGGCTCAACAAGCTCAACTTGTGTGACTGTTGGAAAACAACAGCGGCCTGGCATCGTGCCATGATTTGCAAAAATCGCATCCCCCGCCTTTTGCATGGCCGCGAGTGGTGTTCAATGGCACCGTGTCGGTGATGCCTCGCGGGGTCAGTCGCACACCCTTTCTTTGGCACTGCAACCCAAAATCCTCACGCCAGCCCCAAAACCCCGAAACTCGTGCTCCTCATCTCTGAAGATCCAAACCTGTAATGTCGTAAGCCAAAGGCCCTTAACCCCTCAAGGCCCTCAATTCCTGAGGTTCGATCCGATCAAGTACGTGCTCCCCTTGGACCGAACCAAGACGTCCTGTTGTTGCTGAGCGACTCTGGATTGAGGGCTCCGGTTTAGGTGTTAAATCTCTTGCACCGCGGTGATACTCGGAGGATCACGGGACTTAGCCAGTCGATCATGAGGAAGCTTGAATTGCACTTTGGGCTACGTCTCAGAGTTCATGAGGGCTACATGTTGGACGTAAAGGCAAGGGGTAGGCTTTAGGAGAGGCAGTGAAGACAGAGGGACGAACTGGCAGGTACGAGGCAAGCGGCGAGACATAGGTGTCGCTCCAGACTAGGTGCATACCTGTAGTCTGTTTGATTGCACATTGGGCACATAGAGACAGACAGGAAGGTAAGACACTGTCCAAGAGGTAGCGCAATCGAGGGAGTGAGGTACAGAGAGAGAGAGAGAGAGAGAGAGAGAGAGAGAGAGAGAGAGAAACGGGGGATAGATACCG